ATTAATATTTGTGAAGATGGCAGAAATGGTGCGGTATAACCCTGAAGGCGGGAATCCTCAGCAGACGACTTCAGTAAGTTGATGAATATTTCTGCCCTCTAATCTTTATCATGTGGGATAAAATAACAAAGAGAAGATGGTTAATATTGTCAGCCTTTATCTCGCCGACTGTCGACACATTTTTTATTTTGTAAACATGAAATCTTTATTTCAGTAAACATCGGCCTTTTCTTGTCGAGGTTGAAACAGAATATTTGCTTTTCGCAAAGTTTGAATAACTTAAAGGTTGGGTAGAGATTTATATACTAAGAGCCCAGTTTTGTGAGAGGGTTGGGGGGGGGGGGGGGGGGTCTGGACCTTTACCACCCAGTCATTTTGATTTATCAATGATGTTCGAGTTCAGTCGACAGCGTTCACCCTTGATGTCTTATTCACTTACAAAGAACCTATTGAATACGTATGTTACTTTGTGTAGCTTTTCAACTACTGTGAAATCGTTTGTCGTATATGTGAATCCCCCAAAGTCAGACAAAATATCATGCCTTTTGGAGTGTTCACTAAGTCAAGATCTTAATGATACGGTAATAATAATCGAGACTTTAGTTTAACCCGAAGTATGCAACCCTTCAAATTAATACGAAGTAAGCTTATTGAGCCAGATGTGTTATTTTGACTTCTTTGTAGTATAACATAATATTGTTGTATTACGACTGACATTAAAATAAACGAAAAAATGACACATAATACTGTTATCTGTGATGTAAAAATGTTAAACATTTAACACATAATATTCCTGTATTTATGTTATTCACAGTACTTTGTTATCTTTCTTCGTTTATTATGACTTCATAATGTTCCACAAGATGGCAGATAGAATGCCTGACATGTTACTTAGTACGTTGCCTAAATACCAAGTCACCTGTCGAGTAAGTTCTATTATATTACTTTGGTCACGCTTTTAAGTCCAAGTATCGTACTATAACGTCAAAGCATTTTACTAGTAAGTCAAAGTTTTGTGGCACTAATCTTCAATTTATTGTACTGACGAGGATTGCACACCCGAAACAGATACCAATAAGCACTAATTTGTCACGTTACTTTACATGGATAATTAAGGGGTACGACAAGGAGATGTTTTTGGTCCATGTCTTTTTACTACGTCTATAAATGTAACGTCAACTAACGCTATAGTGACAATAGATTATCGAGAAGGCGTTAAGAGGAGAAACCTTTCATGCCACTTTGCTTTTGGGTTTGTCAGCTTTCCCGACGCGGCTTATAAATCTCCCTTCCAACTTCCCTAAAATCGTCATAATTCAAGAGGGATGCGTGGCAGAAAATTATAAACAGGAATACATAGGTTTTGTTAATATCGCAACATAAATTTTTTTTTCCAATTAATATCAGTATCTTGGTTGTAGGAAGACCACTTGGTTATAATATTGTAGTCGAATTTTCCAACTTTTTTTTCACTACTAGCTTTATATCAGACTCTTTCAAGTACATCCTGTAAGTTTTGAATTTTCGAACTGTAAGCTGAAACTAATGAAGTGAGCAAAGAATGAAACTTGTTAGTTTTGGAACCAGAAATTCCTGTGAGAATGAGATGTGTTTATTGTTGAGACAAACAGGCTTTAGAACTAATCATTCGACCCATCTTTCACTAGCTAATGGTCTAATGGTGTTATTTCCTTAACTAACCCTTCATCTTGAAATTTGTGGTATCTTTCTCTGACCTTTCTAGCATAGGTCAGACGTCCTTAATCTCGAAACTTTACTAATATATAATCAAATCATGAAGAAATACCGTAATCTGATTGGTTAAAAAATTAGGCCGAGATATTTTAATGCTTGACCAATCAGATGACTGACCTAACTTAACTTTATCAAAGTAATCTTTCATTAAGCCCTTTGGGTCATCTAGAGGTGCCAAAGGTTTAAGCGAATTTTGTTACGTGTATGTGCATTGATTGAATCCACGACGATTTGAAAGTTGATGATGAACTGGATTGACAAGGCGTTATCAGTTATTGCCCTTGACGTAATAGAACAAATCACAATACGCTTTTTAGAACTTGTTACAACTACATTTGAGTTTGAAGTAGACAATATTTCGATGAGCGATCTAACAGTAATTTCCCTTGATTCGATACCATTTGATTGGGATAACGGAACATCAGGATATGGGATTTTTAATTCAACTGTCGTCAATTCCAACGGTTACGATGAGAGATTACAACAGCGAGTTTTAGAGGACTAGATTCCTTTAAAATACTAAAACGCTGATATCATCAAGGACGTTTAATTTTGATTTTTTAAGCGTCTGTAAACCTGAAAGTATCTGAGTCATCTCATCACTTCATGACATGATGATAGAAATTCAATCTCTGGATTTTAAAAAACAGCTGGTGTAAGTCATTATAACGTAAATAAAACATCTTATCTAAAGTTTTTCTAGCGAGATAATCTTCAAGTTAACATCAATTTACATTACTATTTTATTTCATCTCAGGCTATAATGGATTTCACCTCGAATTTATCTCATCGCTTCAGACTTTTTTTAAAAAATATTGTATAGAAAACATATTTTAACTATTAATCAAAATTTTAGTATCAAAATTCATATAAAACCCGGTCTGCGTCATCCAAGTATAATAACATTTGGCCTTGACCTCGGTTAAATCTTAGACTTGTTCCTCCAGTCCTCCAGCCACCTTATTACATTTTGCGTCGATTTAAATTTAGTATTTGGGATAAGCCTGGATGTATTTTTAATATATTTTTTTTTCAAATTTTTATACATTGTCTTCCAGATAGACTCCCCTTAAACGTTTCTAAATAGCTGCCATTACTAGTCTATTGGCATTTCGACCTTAACCTTCATAGTAAAATGTCGTTCCTCCAACCATTTTTTTTCCACATTTTAACTATTAATCAAAATTTTATATATATGTAAGATCTTGCTCAAGTCTTCCAAAACATTTTCCGTGACCTTGACATTCATAGTAAAATATTAGCAATCGTATCTACGGCGGTCTGACAGACGTAGCGAGAATGGTCGCGATTGAAAATATTAGCTCAAGTAAACAGTTAAATTACATTTTGACCTAGACCTTCCGATCGGAATAACCTTTGACCTTTCAGAACTAAATTATGCAAGCTACATGTTAAAACATATTGTTATTGAACTTTGTTTTGATATGTTGCCTACGCAACCGGACGTTCAGAACGGCGATGGGATTGGGCACTAAAATTTGACAGACTGGTTAACGAGGCTACAGAATATTCAGCTTTGAACATTTTATCTAATAAACTATGGCTATATATGAACGCATCTTGTGTTCTCTACAAAACGAACGACATAGAAAGTGGAACTGTATATACACGATGGGATGAGATTTGAATATGTGAAAGACTGGTAAACGAAACTACAGAATATTTTTTGAACTTTTTGTCGAATAAAAATGCTAATATTATGTACGCACCCCTGGTGTTCTGCACAAAAAGAACGACGTAGAAAATGAAACATTGGTTTTATGCCAAGTGATTTTATCCTCAATAAACATGTCTTTAACATGTTTGAAGTATAATTACATTCTTAATATCGTTCTACTATATTTACACGTTAAAGCTACCATGAAGTCACAAAAATTGAACAAGCATTTTTTGGTTGTACCTGCTTTTTGCTGTACCATATGTGTCGGTTGCGGATCTGTGTAGGTGTCGATCAGAATGGATATTTCTGGATGTAGTGGATTTTGAAATAATGAATCAAAGGGGGACGGTGTTTTATCTGCCTTAATATATCCTTTGGCAAACACTGGCGCACACACAGGTATTTCCGGGGTGGTTTATTATGAACTGATGAATCAAGGGCTAGTATCCGCCTGCATTATTAGAAATCATCCCAAATACTCTTTGGTACACATAACGATTACATAGCTTTTTCTGAAGATTGCACAGTTGAGGTGGTATATTTGTAACTGATGCACCAAGGGCTGGCTGTCGTCTGACTCAACAACACCTGTTCAATCAAGATCTCACTTGGCATACATTATATATATTACATTAACAAAAGTTCTATGTCTATTACGTATATAGTACATATATTCCTGGAGATGTTATATTTGGCACTGTTGAGTAATAATCAGAACTCGATGACATTGGTTCCTAGAACATATTATAAAACAATAGAAAGGTCTCTTCTCTTTGATCTCAGAATAAACCACACCTGGACAAATCTCGAACAATTGAGGAAATGAAATGATATAATAAATGTAGTACTCTCAAGGTACTTGTAAGACCGAGACAGGTGCGAAAGTATCCCGACTACTTTAAATGAAGTACCGGTACTACAATGAGTTTTAAGTCCTACTTTTCTGCATCTTATTGAACTTATGAAGACCTTACAATGAGTGAAACGGAATATACCATTGACAGAGCTAACTTAAAGCTATCATGAACGCTTTCCGGTTTGTTCAATATTTCAAAAAAACAGGTTGACGGAAGACGGTGACAACCTGAGCTTCAGAACCGTTTAAAGAATTCTCTAATTGTCGAGAACTTTCAATTTCTATCCTAATATGCCATCTATTTATTGTAGATAAACCAGACATCGAATTCTCACTTTTAAAAGTGTTACAGATAACTGAAAAGTATATCAGCTAGTAACGCAAATATTTAGACAACGGTACCCTTATAAACGGCCCACCTGGTCAAATGATTTATAATATATACAATATTTATCAAATATAACAAAGCAGAATGTTAATATAACTCGAATTTAGTCAATTGATATATAACACCTCATATCGGCATCTTCAGTTATTTATAAATATTTATAAAATGGCCGCCTGTAACGGCTCAAGTTCTGATAAAACACCATACAGTGTGCAATGAGGGACATTTCAGCACGACTGGTTCCACATTCCACATTATTTTTACTATTGAGGTGTCTTTATTAATTTCAGGTCAGTCCAAAAGGTTTGTCACTTCCGGTTGGACCCCGATGTTTAAAATGTATTGATGCCTGTCCTGGTTTAGAATTACATTATTGGCGGTAAGTTATATGATATTTTATGCTATTTTTGTGGTAATCGGATATCCGGACTTGGCGATGACATTAGAATAGCGTTCTTTGCACTAATGGAATAGCTCAGTCGGCGAGAGCTGGGATGCGTTTGGTTCGAATCTCCCTAAAGTCAGCCTGGTGTCGGCTTTTAACCACTATCATCAACAGATAAGATGGCAGCATGAGATGGACTTTTGCCAACCCGACATTTTCTTGTGCTTATAAGAGTTATTCGATATTTGTAATCGAATTTCACAATTTCCTGTATTGCACACTGATTGGGGTTATCTCATTATCGTTTAATTTAAAAAGAACTCGCTCCTTTACTCTTGTTAAAAATATGTTTCCGTTTATTTTACACTTTGCTTCTGCCTGTACATATTATTAAAATACATTTTTAACAGTTGCGAACGATTCCCTGTATTGCACATTGATTGGGGTTATCTCATTATCGTTTCATTTAAAGAGAACTCGTTCCTTTTCACTTGTTTAAAAATATGTTGCAGTTTATTTTACACTTTGCTAATTTACCAAATTATCTGGCAGAATGTTTAAAATACCAATTCAGAAAACCTATTTTTATCAGATAAAATTTGATAAGTTTTCGACGAGTCAAACTTCTTACTTCTGCAAGTTCAATTAGTATTGAGTTACCTGCTGCACTGTAAAAATACTTCGTGAAATTTCATTAAAATGTTTGGCAGGTGTAACGTTTTAACGATTTTTATACTTACAAAAGAATGAAAGAAAAGGTGCAATAATTACTGCGAGGAGTGTCACAGTGCAGGGTGTGTTAACACTTTCCGAAACACATTAAATCACTGTGTTCTTCGGCTTGTCAGTTGCTTAATTGTTCAACTGCATTTATATATACAAAAAATACCAACATCCCAAGTACTGGCTTCTTCCCGTAACCCTTTCGTATTTTAAAAACATAACTATGTTTTATTAAAATTTTTAAGAAATAAGGTGGAATGTCTGACAAGTTGAAGATAGCAGGCTAAGAGTATTCCTGGCACTGTAGTTCTGATAATGGTGATATATTTAACCTCGGTATGAGATAAAATCTAGGTTGATAGATAGCACCGTTTCTGTGATAACGAGCACCGTTTCTGTGTTAACCTTACCTTTCTAGGGGCAGTCTGAAACACTTATTTCTGAGATATTCTATATCCGGTTTAAAGGGGCAGAATGACAAAATTTCCTTATCAAAAACGTTATATCGATACCGTACCTCGTCTATATTCAGCGTCCTTAAGCGCATTAAGTTGGTACAATACATTTTTTTCCATTTGTTAACATTTTATAAAATCTTCGCCTGGAAAAACATTTTACAATTGTTGATTACCTCCCTTGAACTATGTGAAACTTGCCGTGTTTCAAAGATAACTACACAACTACCGATTCCATTTAATCATATTCTACTATACATTGTAACACTTTGGGTACGGCGTCATCGTCAATACATATTACATAATATAACTTAGTTTCGGTTTCAGAATCTGTCCCACGTGGGCTTTGATATAGGACCATTTCTCTAATAGAGTAAAATAAGATTCAAGGTTTGTTACCCTTGGACTATTTTTATCAGCAAGGCAAAATTCGCCATTTTTTGGTCGTATTTTTCTGCTCTATGCAGAATACGGTAACACGATGTTTTTCGATTGCTAACCGTCGTGGAATCTTCCATACGTCACTTAAAAGGTAGTCTCGAACTTACGTTCTTTTATCTATTCCAGGAAGATCTGTAAACATTGTCGCTGTCCGCAAGAAGATCATGACATCCAGACAGACAGAGACCGAGATTTTCGACCAATCAGCTTACTATTTGATTCCACCTTCTCAGCCACAGACAGCAAATCTGATTGGTTGGCCAAATTTGAAAAACTGAACCTCCAGGACCCGGCTGTGATGATGAAGATGTGTTCACCTCAACAAGATATGATCATTTCCAGATTAATCAGCGAAAATATCGTAAGTTATCAAAAGTCATATATTTGAGCTGGAACACATGGGGCAATGTATGATTTCGTCGGTAGTTAAAAGTCTTTTGACTTTCAACCTGGAAGATTTAGACTAAACGATTAGACGAGTGATATTACATGTATTTGAAAATTTGGTCGATGAGGCGAAAACCGTGTTCACACTGCCATAAAAGTTGCCCTCTTTAAGTGAACAGTACTTGGTCTGGACTTGCCGCGGATAATTTGTGGCAATCTAAACGCGGCTTGAGTCAGTGAATTATTTAGACGACTAGATGCCTTTAATAAGTGAGAGCACCAGGTGTGGGTAAAAATAAAACTGGCATTTCAAGATGTTTTTTTGATAATCTTTAGATCATTATTTTCTCGCCTTCACTAGACTAGAATCAGGTATGATATAGTATGTGTTTGTTTTGATAGAATTATTTCAGTTTAAGTCTTAGATTATCTGTCTCAAGTATAGATCGTCAACGAAGATAGATAGACTAATATATCATAATATTCTTTTTAAACACCAAACAGTGTGAAATTAAATTGAGATAAGCTTAAAGGGATAGTCGCCTCAAAATTCCCATTATCATTTCAAAATTCAAAGACAAAATACGCCATAATTTTTAAAGCACCATAACAGACTTTTCTACAGCCCCCCTTACATGATATTGAAAGGCGAAGACAATTAATGTCATAATTTTCAAAGCACCATAACCGACTGAGCTACACACCTCTCACTATTGAAACCATACATAATATTGAAATGTGAAGACAAATGGCGTCACAGTTTTCAAAGCGCTCTAAATGGCTGAGCTACAACCTCTCCCCTTTGAAAACAATACCTGAAGACAAACTCTGACTAATATGTTGGTAATTTTCAAAGCACCATAATCAACCGAGCCACAACCCCTCCCCATTTGAAAGAATACCTAAAGACAAACTCTGACTAATATGTTGGTAATTTTTACCTGACGGTACCACAAAATGTCAAAGTTTATAATAATTTCTACCCGACAGACGAAAACTTATGGCAGACACACAGCACGACCGAGATTCTTCTTCAGAATACTAGTAGCAAAAATGTTATCAATCAAATGTGTATCCGATTCGTCTAATCATGATTTATTTAGGGTGTGCGAGTAAGACGAAATCCATCCCTTGATAAGCAGGTTCTTAAAGGCATTAAGCCGTTGAACCTATAGCCTTACCAGCTGATAGAGATTAGTTGAAAAGAAACCCGTTACTATCAACAAGCAACTAGTCACTATTCAACAGAAAGAACTGGCACAGGGTGAGCTATTTGAGCTACCCGTTACTCTTTTCAAGGAGAAAGTCCTAATTAAGATGCGTTCACAATTAATAAGATAATATCGTAATTGACTTGAATGATATTTACGATAGCGACGTACGACTAAACGTCAGACCACAAATCTGGAATAGTACAAATAGAACCGACAAATGTTCCTGATGAATACGTACTAGACCAGATAGTGTCTTTTGTATCGCTTGAATATAAAGATTGACCAGAACATAAAAGAAATTCACAAATGATAGATGTGCGGAACGACATCCGGCAACCGGTTGGTGGTAATTAAAGCCAACAACTGTATACTATATGAGAACTCATTTGATCTTCTTACGTTTATTTGATTCCTAATTAATAACTCGGAGGACGTTGACTCTAAAGGGATGCAATCCTCAAGATATCTCCAATACCAAATAAGGCTTAAAGGGATATTGTAGTCTAGTAGCTTTACACAATAATGGAGCTTACTTACTAGATTGTGGTCTGATGTGTCTTCAGAATGAAAGGATGTTTGATCAACTGTTGCCACGAAGAAATTGCTAGCTGAAGCAGTCGTTTGTTATTGAATCATAGACGAACAGGGCGTAAATTGTCACATTGAAAAGTGATACACACAGAAAGGAATATACATGTAGTGCCATTGGTCTAAAGTGGTCTCTGTACTATAGTCGCAGAGCACTAGTGGAACATACACATTTGGTTTACTCGCTGAAGAACTGGGCCAGGCATCAAAATGTGTCCATCTTTAGGAGGTTTTGAACCTACGGCACATAATATTAGATGACTATATCCCTTCTTGAAGAACGTTCTATTGTATGAAATGAGTCTTTAATATTGCGGATATATCGTGTAATAAATGGCCTATTATTACTAGGTCTGACTGATTGATTGGTTCTTAGTATTCTGGAAGTCCAAGGTCCATGATCTCGTTTGGATTTTGAAAAGATCAAGATTCACGCCAGAAAGTAATTATTTTCCCTAAATATTCATAATATAGCTCACAAATATAATGGTTCATGTACTTCATATTTCCATTAGGGATTACCATCCAAGCTTTAGTGGAGGTTATGGACACCGGTCCAGTGGGGGCGCAAGTCTCCCAAAACTGGGGGTACAAATAGGCGGCAGATTGACAAAATAGGTGGACTGCTGAAGCTGAATTCAAAATGTAGGTTCCCCCTGTAAAAATTTCTAAAAAGGAGGATCCTGTCTACCAGCTGGTCTGTCTGTTTGTGGTATACCAGGAAGGCAAACCATTTACACTCAAAACTACTCTCAACCGCCCCTCCCCTATACCCTTACTGTCTCCGCCAATGGTTCCTGTCTACCAACTGGAAATCTAAAAGGATCTTACTAGAAATTCGGTTACTGATAGTATGATAGTTGTTAAATCTGACTTACATAGTTTAAAACAAGTTGAAATTATAATCTTCTTAGATAATGTAATAAATACTCAATACCACCATGCCAACAATAATAACGCTTTTTAATTCCACTTTAAAGAACTTGCATCTTGTAATTTCTTTCAATATATAGAGCCTGCTAAATCTGGAGTCTGATTGAGCGGAGCTGGAGCTGAAAGAAGCTTCATTTCTGAGAATGTTGATGACAAAGCTTTCAGGACTGACAATGTTTTAAGAGTATCCCACGAAAGAGCTTGAGGTTCCCGTCTATATACCAGTGAAAGATCTTTCTTTTCTTGGAGGTTCCCGTCTTCCAGTGAAAGAGCTTCCCATTAGCAAGGAGTCTTGAGTATCCTGTCTACGTGGGATTCTGCCAGACGACCAGTAATTCAACGACTGGCTGTATGCTAGGACGTAGAACTCCATTTCTGGAAGTTATATCATATCAATATCAGATATTTACTAATCATTACAACTCTGATGAAAGATGAAGTCTAATCATAACCAGGTGATATTTAAAACATATGACTATTGTTTACTAGGGCGGTGGCACTCGACTGACAGTTAAAATAATCTTAGGTCGCTGGGTGTCAACCTGGAGGCTATGTCACATGATACATGAAAAGTATCTCATGTTGACAAGGTATTAGACGGAGCTCGAACTATATTGGCATTGTGAAAATCAATTACTCTTTAGATGGGAATATAGTCTAGCTGGATCAAGGGTTACATTTATCAAACTGACTCGAATACCCTCATTGAATCAAGATGAACAACTCGTTGGTACCGTGATACCTGTTAAGAATTTGTTCATCTGAAAATTCGTGACTCGTACCACCCTGAATCTATTTCAAACAAAGGTGTTTATAACAGAATCGCGAACACAGAAAATTCTGGCGTTTCTCAGGTGAAAACAAACAAAAGCTAAAACACGTTTCGTCCCAGGTATACGCCGATTCTTGTACCAATATCTCAAACCTGTTACATGATACTGGATTACACCAAGTCTTAGTCTCGTTTCACGTTTTACTTTCTAATATTTGCCACCATTTTTATGGATTTACATTCTTTATAAGCAGGGGTAAGCACTGTCACGTTCAAATACTAGATATTTCAAATGCTTGATATTTCAAATGCTTGATATTTCAAATGCTTGATATTTCAAATGCTTGATATTTCTAATACTAGATATTTCAAATGCTTGATATTTCAAATGCTTGATATTTCTAATGCTTGATGTTTCAAATGCTTGATATTTCAAATGCTTGATATTTCAAATACTTGATGTTTCAAATACTTGATATTTCAAATACTAGATATTTCAAATACTAGATCTTTCAAATGCTTCATATTCAATTCTTGATGTTTCAAATGCTTGATGTTTTAAATACTAGATCTTTCAAATGCTTGATATTTCTAATGCTTGATATTTCAAATACTGATAATTTTGATAATAATTCCATGCCACAGTCTTCTGATAGTCAGCACTTTTCCCAAGAATTAACGCTCAAAATAAGCAAGGCGCGTTCTGGATATTTCAAACCTGTTGTTGAATAAGACAAGATGAAATAACAGATATTTCATCCTTGTGGACAATTGCTCATGCCATGTTTTCTTGACAGTTGCCACCCTTTTATGGATTAACATTAGTTTCAGTGAAATTGTTGACTGAATATTGGGATGGTGCATATCGACGCTACCTGTGTCCCCGATACACTCTGCGTTAAAGCAGTCAAATGTCAAAGCGGTCCTGTCTCGTAAGAATATGAATTCAAAAACCAGTTGTACCAGATGGCTTTTTGTTTCTGTCTGAAATATGTAGAGTAGATATTCATCTATTTGCATGAGTTAAAAACAACGCTGATGTTTGAATTATTAAGATATTTGTTGTTAAAGTTAATGGTTTGTACAGAATGTACATCAATAGTAATTGGCGTTTACATCAATAACAACAGTTGAATCGCTGACAAACGCTGAGTAATGGCATTCGGTACACACGTACCGCAATATCGCTAATGGACGTTACGTCGACAAAGCTGATTCATCGACTTACACATTATGCGATTACACGGCCGAGGCCCATAGCACAATCATTCAAATATATTGCATATTGCATAAGCATAGTTCATCTATTGAATCATCTATATTGATTCAATTAGCTAAAACGCCATTGGACGCTGAAGCCTAATCATCAACGTTAACCCGTAATTGGGTTCACTGGATTAGCAATATTATTAATAGACGCTAAAGTTATGGGGTTCACTGGCATAGCTATTTTGTTTTTGACGCTAAATTCAAATCATCGCCTGATCTCAAATCGATATTTGGTTCACCTTATTACTTTATAACAACCGAACACTTATCTGTTGAAATGTGGGTATCAACTAAACCCTTATCTTTGGCGGTGTGGATCTCAGCCTTTTCTTTGGAAATGTGGATTTCAAAATGAAATGAATGGAGTTTTACGTCCTACTTTTCTGCACCATGTGAGCTAATGAAGACTGAATGTGGATTTCAAGTGGCGACGTTGGGATCAACGGAATCCTTATCTTTGGCATTGTGGTGATGTGGATAACAACTGAACTCTTATTGATAGAAGCAGATATATAGACACATGCAACTGCAGCTGATAAGATACCGTGCTTAGTAAGCCACCCAAGTTAAAGTGTAGACTGCACTATACTAAGACATTTAGATGTATGAAGACACCCATAGTTTTTTAATACTAAATGGTTTTATACCGAATGTATATTTTTGTTTTACCCAAGAAGTATATCGCGTTCTAGAAACTAAAACAACAGATGATAAATCATCCTATCTTCTTACCTAATATCTAAATAAATTAGTCACGAAGAGACTCAGATAACGTAACATTAGTGGCAGTATTTTGGCACGATACGTCTCATTATTTATCATCATTTGAATGGTGTTTATCTTCCCAATGATAAACTTTTGATTTAGTATGGACTAATGAGCTGGGATTAACCGATAAACATCGACACATGAGTAAACGATATTAAATAAATTGGAGTTTTGAATTGTTCTTGTTGAACTTATACATACCTACAATGCCATGCAGTTGGCAATGAGTAAAATTTAGTCAGAAATGCGGTGTAAGCTTGATGTTTTCCGATTCAAATGGTTGAGTATTGGTGATATGAAACGAAAGAGCACGGGGTCTTGGTTTATTGTCTCATCTTTCGCCTCGCCCTGTGCTTTCTTTATTTCATTTATATTGTTTTTACGACCACTTTCACCTCATAATTATATGCTTATTTCAAAGACGTCCTATTTTTTTCACCAAAGACCGACCATGAGATGTTTTGAATCGACAGCCAAATTTTATTACATGACATTGTTGGCACGAACCCCAATACATCAATTACGATGACGAAAAATAAAAACAAAATGACATAATACACTTATAACGTTCTTGATTGGCATAACTCTGTTATTAGTATATAACTGCTCCAGTTTCCTTCAAAAGGAATATTGTTGCAGTGGGTTTGACGTGGAATGATTCAATATCGCTGCAAATTTTGCTTTATAGTTAAAAGATGGCGGTAAATGAAATCAAATATAGTTTCATTTGCAACTCTTCGAAATACTATTGTACTCATGAAGACATTGAATAGGAAAATGCACGTGCATTTTAGTGTATAACGTTGGATTAAATTTATCCATGTATTTTCAGAAACTATTTACCAGAAGCACGCGCACTTTGGTGTGCGACATCTATTTAATACGATATGTATTTATGGAATTTATGAATAAGGTTATTTCTTGTATTTCAGAATTTTTTCCTAGAAGCACGTGCATATTGGACTATAAACTAGATATATTATTGTACGTCACGTAAACAAGTATGTTTTTCTTTTCTAATTTCAGAGATCCCAGAAATATGTTTCCATGTTGCCGGAAGACAAGCAAGAGTTTGCAACACAACTGCGCAGACGTCAACTTCAACGACAACTTCCGTTACATGACCTTGACCCCCGATTTTGCAACAGTCTGACAGAAAAGGAGCTACCGAAATATGAGAAATTCTCGGAGAAAAGGCGGAAGAAGGCCGCGGGAATTGGGAATATCGGAGAAGTCAATTCTACGGAAGGAAGTATGGTAGGACAATTTTTTTTAAATTTTTGAAGCACGATCTCTTTCCAAAAATCTTTGCTAACTCTCCCGGCACCTGCCCACAAAAAATGTGTTGTCGGTTGGCAGCTAAAAAAAAAACTTAGGGAAATCACCGGTATTTACGGGTTCTATAACAAAACGTATACCAATTTTTATGTCAAAACACAAAGAAAAGATGGACCTCCTTACCAATCGGGAGTTCTTACGCCTAAATGTCTTATGTTAAAGCTATCATAAAAAGATACTAAAAATATATTATATTTAACATCTGATCTATTTCTGTTTACTCGAACGTCATTTAAATGACGTCATGTTTTCACAGACGATTAAAGCAGACGTAATTCAATATTTTGGCGCCATAATTTAAAAAGATTCTCTGATTTATGGTCTTTTGTCTGCTATAATAGTCTTTTGTTTAGAAATATCGTGTTCATAATTCTTTCTTATCATCGCCTGCTGGATGATAAGACATTAATTGTTTGTGAAACGGTAGCTCAAATTCTAACGTTTGTTTTAAATTAAAGGGACCTACCGGTATATGCCTACATTATACCAATTTCGATTATAAGTACTTTAGCACTTAGATTTAAAAATTACTTCACACGAGTTCTGGAATGGGGCGCATTTCAAGAGTAGGTTTGGCCTATGATCGTGATTTCTTAAAAGACTAGAAAATAGTTTAAGTGAATGATAATCAACGACGTTCTCGTTCAATGCAAATTAAAACAGGACATGGTGTAGCACTTTTATCAACATGAAATAACCAGATAACCTCTTTACAATCCCTTTCCAGGGATACAGCCGTCTACATTTTTTCATATACAAGAATAAGCTTTACAGACTTTTAGAGCTCAAGTTAAACTATCCATAATTCTTTTCCGATTTTAATTCTGAAAATGATACGGACAATAGAAACCGAGCTCTATCACCTGTTGAAGCAAATATTTCGGCGAATATACAGATAGCTAAAATTAAACTCTTTAACCTGGTAAGCACATATTTCGATGAATATACAGATAGCTAAAATTAAACTCTTTAACCTGGTAAAGTAAATGGGCTATTTAGACGACTGCACCCCTTTATAAAACCGACTATACGTATACATGTACTCGCTTTACCAGCTGTTTGAGCACAAATTCTTGTATAACGTTACGATATGATACACCTATCATATATATTGATGATGATATACGTATAGCTCTAGGATAGTAATAGAATGATTTCTGTATTCACGTGTTGAAATAACCTTTCTATCTGTACTACATGACTATTTTTATTCTCTACTGCTCGAGGCATTATTCTAGAATACTTAACTAGATTTTAATCAATACTGTCATATGATTGGTTAATAATAAAATTCAAAGATTTTTGTGATTGACCAATCAGATGACTGGACCAACATCTTCTTTGAGAAAAGTAAAAATAAACGTTTGCTTTAGGTTTCTTTGATAAAACGTCACGATATATACAAATCTACAATTTTTAAAGGCTGCTTTCTGTCAAAATGTTGGAACCACCACCCAGCGCCATCTATTTACCCCGCCCTTTCTAACCCACCCCCAAAATGTCTATTTGCTGTTCTATCAAACTTTTTCATTGCATACAGTATGAGTATTGCCTCTCTTCTTTAAGAAGCACCTGCTTGGCAAAAGGTGCGGTATGTGCAATAGTTGTATATTGTAGTGTAATCTGATACGCAGAAAATTCCTCTCATTGCACACTGTATGACGTTGCCTGTCTTGATTTAGAAGCATCTGTTTCAAATTGAAGTAAAAGGCGAGGTAATTGCATTAGTTTTTATTTTAGTATAATTTATAACCAAAATTCGATACGAAGATAATTTCTCCACTAAAAACACAAATTAATTCAATATGACTTGACTTTAACCTTTACAATATTATTTTTTATGAGGCACTTTAGATATATTATATTCTTCAAGATACACCCAAATTATTTTAAACTGTTCTTTAAAGGGAACGATTCTTGTAATGCATACGATTCTGTTTCCCAAAGCTTGTTTATGGAAACCTGTCTAATTACAACTAGACCAAACTTTCGTTCCGTTTTTATTAACTTTTAATACCGGAAGTAAAGAGTCTCGCCTAAGAAGACACATCGAAATTCTCCATTCAGATTCAGCTTTACGGAAACTGCCGAGGATTGCCGAATGTTATTTTCCCCCTTTTAATAAATGGTGCACTTTCGTATTAATAAATTGATGATATGGCAAAGAAGCATTAAAGAAACTTCAATCGTGGATGACCCAGAATTAATATTCTATTAATCAACTCAGTATTAATTAACATTCAGCCAAGTTATTAATCTTCTCCTGTGGAAATCTTTTTCATGTTTGACATGTTAATCATCTCAAGTAGTAATTCGCGGCATGAGAGAATCGTTCACCTGGTAAAATTACTGTGATTCCACACCGTTGTGATTACCACTGACTTAATGCACTGTCGGATACAAAAAGGTTTACATAGTTTCTTCAGTCTTAAAGAGATTGTAAAGAGGTTTTAAATACTTTTTATGTACAATAATCTTCTAAGAGACCACCTCCACTAAGAAACCGTTTTGGATTATTCCTAAGAGTGGTCTCTTAATACATTTTCTATTGTAAAAAGCATAAAAGACGACAAGACGCCAAACTCAGGGACACTGATAAAATCTATTTACACCTTTCCAATTTTCAATCAGATGTCTGTTGTTCTTGCAATTCCACTACAACTAGGACTACCGTGCGGCGACTTGCATGGTATTTGCGAGAGTGACGTCATACTCGACAACCATGAACGTCATTCGTATGCAAATTTGATAGATCATAATCATGAGCCATTTAAATTTGTTTCATACCCTAGCCTGTACTAGTACCCTGCTTAAAAAGGGATGATAAATTGTTACTTCTAAATTTTTTGTAATCGATATCCCAGGGCTCCTGTTCCCTCAGGACCATCTAACCGCTTCCGGTGGTCCGACCCCTCAGACCAACCTGCTTGCATCCCAGGATGGAACAAGAGCTCTAGGTCGCCATAGTTCGTCTTCTTTCTACTTTCAGAAGTGTCATTGCTGTAAAGGTTTAATGGAGAACAGAACTGTAGCAGTATTTGCTGGTCGAATGGTTGGAACCTGTTGGCATCCGGGATGTTTCATGTGTAAAACTTGTAAAGAACTTTTAGTGGATAATATATACTTCTACAAAGGAGCAGAGATATATTGTGGACGACATTACGCCGATCTTCAGTACCCGCGATGTGCTGCTTGTGATGAGGTGAGTTAAGATCCTTAATCCTAATATCTAAATAAAGTGTCTGCTCCACCCTAGGCCTGTACATTTGGGAGAATCAAACCCTCCCTTCCCCGAAATCCAATATGCTGCAGTGGTAAGTGGTTCGACGATCTCCAGTATCCACTAAACGCTGCTTGTGATGAGGTAAGTTGTTAGAAGTATCCACAATATGGTGCATATGCCCGCTAAATGCTTTAAGGCAAGCTGCTTGTGACGAGGTTAGTTGTCCAAACGATCTCTAGTATCCGCAATGTGGTCAGTGCGACGAGGTAAGTTGTCTCGATGATCTTCAGTACCCACCAGTCCAAACAATCTAAAAATCAGCGATGTGATGCTTGTGATGAAAAGATCTCCAGGATCCGCAATCTGATATATGTGATAATACACTTTTGTCCGTGATGGCATTACGAATCTCCCATTGTCGGAATGGTTTTCGAGAAAAGTCATCATGCCGTACACTTTTAATTAAGGCTAAGGCGGTTATTATCAAAGTAAAACTAAAACTTGATAATTTTATACCGATTTTACCATACATTGAGGTAGGTATTTTTCGACCAACAAAACCTAAAAAACCAACTTGTTCCAATCGTGAAGTTGGGTGAACCATCTGCCTGCCAAATACAGGTAACAAAAATATACAGCCAAGCCTGGTGCCCATTAGCTAACTTGTAACAATAAAGCACATGTTCAAGCCGAGTAAACATCAGTTCTGAAGTCTTTTTATATCAATACACAATGGAGAACGTGACCTTCAGATTAATGCCAAGGTCATCATTGTACAAAGGAACCAATGCTAAATTCTATCTACGCCCTTAAAATGTCTTAATCTTAAGAAATTAAAGAGCAAAAAAGGTTTTCCTCTGGGACACTGATAGCATCGATAGCAATTCCAATTCAGACAGATACATAATTTAGAAAACTTTTTAATGAGAGACCCAAAAATACTGTGATAGCTCTAATTGGCCATATTTTCTAGCGTACAATCCAACAAAAAATAGTGCATTTATAATCTTCCGTGTTGCAAGAAAAGTGCTTAATTATGTCAAGGTTTCAGACAGAGTTAACAATAGCTTGAAAATGTGAAGATTTTAACATCCTACCTCTGCCAATTCACCTATCTAGGTCGTCATCTGTGTTTCATCTGTATATTTTCAGATAATATTCGCTAGGGAGTATACTCAAGCTGAGAACAGATCATGGCATGTTCAACATTTCTGTTGTTGGTGCTGTGATGCTCCGCTAGCTGGCCAGAGATACATCGCTAAAAATAATAACCCTTATTGTATTGTTTGTTTTGATCGATTGTTTAGTAAGGTACGTATACATTACTAGGAAGGAGAGAGAGGGAGAAAGAGAGGGGGATTTGGGGGCGAAAAATCTTTCTAAAAGGGCACGGAAATTATGATAATATATGGCTTAAATCCTCCATTTAATACAATTTTGAAGAATATTCTTTCAATCTCGTTTTTTTTGCACTCACTAATTACGATTATTACATGCTCACATATTAGGCCAAGCGTATCACGTGACAGTGAATGCCAAACGTCGGATCTGGTTATTGGCGGTCAATTTCTGGTCCATGGGTTTTGTCGATGGAACTTCATTCGAATACTTTCGCTTTTGTCTTTTCAGATATGTAGTACATGCCAAAGACCAATTACTGCTGATTCCCCGGGAATGACCCACGGTGACCTCCATTGGCACGCATGCCCACATTGTTTCAGCTGCCATGTGTGTGGTACAAGCCTTATAAACAACCATTTCTTATTACGCGAGGGAAACTTGTATTGCAGTGTGGACTGTCGGCAACGTACCTTGAACGTTCATAAAGCGGCGCTGTCGAGGAATTATGCAACTTAAAATTACTCCTTGAACTGTAACATTCAGGAACGAGATGCAAAAACAAACTATCTTTCACTTTCACGTCTTCTTATTGAAGAGCTCTACATCAGAGTTATTTCCCTTTTCCCAACTACAGTAAAACCTGTCAGTGCGACCAAGAGAAACGTATTTGTAACCAGCATCAATTGATGAAGTGTGGCAAACAAGAAATTACTATTCTGGTAACAAAATTGATAAAAATCCAAATCTAGGAATAACTTTTACGAAATTAAACTACTTCGGTCTAAGAATTTTAAGAAATTCGCCTGTAGAGTACTTCGTAGTTCCAGATGAATTGCTGATTAATAAACTAGTTGGCGTAAGAGAAGGGAGATAAACACGTAAATAGTAACGCCGCCGGTTAGAAAACTGCAAGTGACATAACAGTCGCTTTGACCTATGTTCGTGTTTGGATTTGGGGCTATACGGTGTGTAACCATTCATAAAAATCTAAAAGGATTCAGATAATTAACTTCCAACAGATTACATATTATTATATTAAAGTGATGTAGTCATTTAGTTATTCGCTTTACAAGCTACTCTAATGATACCATTTTTAAAGGGATATATTCTACCAATTTTTTAATTATTCACTTGTATCAGCTGAGGCAAACATGATTCGAGATTTCAACCTTGAAAAGTAATACGGTAAAAATACAGGACTTTTGTCCTTTAAAATCCATCAGCTGATTAAGTGAAAATCTAGAGGAAAATATCCCTTGAATTTTATACTATAAAATATACTGAATATAAAGTTTAAACGCTTATAGACCACTATATACCTTTACAAGCCGTCAACTGATGTTTATCGGGTGTTTATCTAGAGGAAAATATCCCTTGAATTCAAACGTACGCCGCAAGCCACCGTGTAATAACTAATATACTGAACATAACGTTTTTAATGATATTTTGACTTTAGAGTGGATTAGACGCTTGAATAATGATACTATATCTGTATAGCTGTAGGGAATAAAATTGATATAGTAAGCTCGACAAATCTGGCTCTACCTGTTCCTACCGAAGGAATGAACGCGTCAGTATCCCATCAGTATATCACGCCGGGTAGAGTCTGATTTGTTGGGCTTATTATATAGTATAATATGTGTTTTATGCAAGGATTCTTGAAATGGTATAAGGTTGAATATGAGAAAATTCGATGTTTGAAATAGTGGCCGTTGTTTGACGTCAATAGAAAATGCTTTGTCGTTGTTTACGCGCATAATGCTGTATTCGTTACGATTAGGTTGAAAATTTTACAATTTGCGGAAGCAATAACCACCCCTATATTTATTTGCAACACATCTCGAAATTTTAATATCGTCCCATGTGCTCTTTAGTTGTACAGACGTAGGTTATGTCACACACAAGGAGAAATTTGACTTTGACGAATATTTTGCAAACTTTCCATGGCCAAATTAACCGAGAGGTAACGAATGCAGCATAAATTCTACGAATTTGACATATATTTATATATATATATAGCATAGAAGGTGGTGATAACTGCTGATTTTCATACTTACATCGAGTGTTGTTATTTGGGCATTACATTATTTTCAATTCACTTCGAAAGAATTTTTTTGCGCTTCGAAATTCAATAAAATAAAATAAAATAAATACCGATGATCTAAGACTGTTATTGCTCCCGTTTCACTTCTTGCTATGTAACTTTTTAAAACGTTTCTAAATCCACATGCATTCTTGAAGGTGACGTTATATTGTACCAGAGTAGCGTCCCCTTGTTGAATGCACGTGCGCAAACGTAGTTCGAAACTGTGTGACATTAATACACATGATAACTTCTATCACCCAGTCCCATTTTGTCTACGCACAGCTGTCTAGTCGTAGACAGAAGTCTGAGTGTCAGAGACTATGCTATGATAGTTATGATGAGAAATTCCGTTTCATTTCAAAGTCTATATAAATTTCAATATTTATTGAAATGATAATTAAAATTTTTGTCATTTATCAAAATCTAGCAATCATTTATATTTATGTTCCCACAAATTACTTGGTTTGCAAAACTAAGACACCATCGAATTAGCTGGTTTGCAAAACTAATACACCATACGATATTGATGCTATTTAAACCTATAGAATGTGCAATATGTTGCTTTGTTTTATACTAGAAAAAAAACACGTTCAGCATGATATTTTATTTACAGATTACATCATTAGAAATCGTAAAGGGATGTAGTACTCTAATTATTAAAGGAGTTTTATTGTCTCAGCCTATTTATTGTATCGGCCTACAAGTTTATTAAAGGCGCCCTCACACCATAGCGAGCACCGAACGTAACTCAAAACTCAGTTATATGAGAGTTGCGTTCGAAACTAATAACCGTTGTTCGTATTCGCAACCAGAGGCAACTGGTGATGGCTATGGTGTGAGAGCGACTTTAAGCTATTTTCAGGATAGACAACTACATCCCTTTAAACTATGTTTATAATATACTTATTGTAGTTTATTTTAAAATTTATTCTTTGCTAATTTATTATAATAAAGTTATTTTTACTATATTTGATTGGCTAGTGGAATTCCAGGGGATGATTTAGCCTTACAATACAAGTTCTATGGCGTCACAAAGGGGCAATTTGAAGATGAGCATATTATAATGATACGATGGATAAAAAGTGCATATAAGGATTTCTAGCTTATGTATTTGTATAGGAGCAACTTTAAGGTGCTATTGGTCTTGGGATAGATGTTATTAAATCGGGATGTATGGTATGATTGGCCTGTAGAGTGATTAAGCTCCTCCTTAAGAAATTGCTCTTCCCAAGACACACCCCGAGAGCTCGGTCCCGTAGAATAGACCTGCGTAATCCAATAAAAATGATGTACAAGAAAAACACAAATTTTCACAACGTCATTAATTCACACTGTAACTTTTCTCCTACGTCACACAAACCAGTTATATACTAATACAATAAACGCTGTAATAATTGTAATAAATTAACGACTCCGTCAGTTTATTACATAAAACGTTTCGCTCATCACGGCTGCGAGAGATCTAATTGAGATGCTTGAATCGCCAATCGACATGTGTACACATTTAAGTATTTTCCGTGGCGTCTCGAAGTTCATTATGTACGTATCTCTTCTTCATGTTCCTCCTATAAACCACGACATTGTCCCATATTGATTGCAGTACGTTTTATCAACCCGTTTTTAGATTTATCACAACTTTAGATTTTAAGCCAGTTTATATGTTCATGTGGTAACGTCAAGTGGTAGCGTCATGTGGTAACGTCATGTGGTAGCGTCATGTGGTAACGTCATGTGGTAACGTCATGTATGTAGAACGCCCCTTTGTGTGGTAAGGTCGTGTTAAAAACGTGTCTTCATTTAATAACGTCATGTTTGTAGAGCACGCCAATTTATCTGCGTTCGTGTCTGAAACATTCTGCTGTAGGCCTATATGGTATTCCTCTCAAATTCCCAACTATTCCACTCCTTTCTATGCAGCCATGAATTTTCACTTGTATTCCACTCGTTTTATTTTGCAATTTGCTTCGATTTTGCACTTGTTCATTTTATATATAATTTACCAACGATGAAGCCTACGTCTTGTTCCGAACCCTTCTTGAACGAATCTTCTCATTTGAAAATTCAAAACATAGAATAATCATCTGTAACCTGAATTTTACCGCTTCCAATATAAATTCCATCTTTTGTCACTTCATCATATTCTTTCGTTTTCGTCCTGAAATGAAACGGATAAGGGTTTTTATATGCTACCGAGGCACGTTGCGGATACAAAATCCCCATCAGGAACGAGTGGGTAAAATTTCCAATAACTTTCCATGGCTCGATCATGGGCTTGGGCATACATGGAACATTAGCTTTTTTGTCCCCCTCCCCCCTCCCCTCCTTCCTCGTCCCTCTTCAAAATTCGGTGCTAAAAGGCGAACATACATATCGCCCCAAACGATTTAAAAGGTCAATATTAGCTATAAGGTTTATAGGCGAGTCATTCGGTTGTAAAAAGACTACCAAGCGAAGACTTTTAGTTCTGACTTCTAAGTACCGAATAAAAGAGACGTCATTGGTAAGAAGATTAAACGAAAGTTACTTACGGTACAACGCCAGATGAAACTTTTTTGTACAAACATCCACAATAAATGTGTTTGCAGGCTTCGCGGAACTGATTATTGGTACAGAAATATATAATAGGATTCACCATGCATCCCGCTTTACAAAACATCGTGGGTATGGTCGTCACCTCGATCGGGAGATCCGGTATGATTATGTAAATAACACACACTACGGCATAGGGTGTCCATATAATTAGAAATGACATTACCAATATAATACACATCTGAAGAAAATGAAAATTGTTTTTGTGAGTATATGGTAGCTTTAAGTAATGATAAATAAATTATACAGGAAATTTATCAAAATATGATTTGTTTTTGTAAGTACATGGTAGCTTTAAGCTGTAAATATACCAAATAAACGATATTAGGCATGTTTAGCCTAATCTCCGAAAGATATGTTGAGATGACAACTAAATAATGTCAACATATCCTTCATTAAAGCTATCATGAATTAATAAATAAATATATATATATACCTTTGTATCAGTGAGTCAAGAGAAAAAAGGGAGATTACGTGAAAGCTTTCATTGAAGCAAATGTATAATAGACGATTCAAGAATAATTACTTACTATGGTCACTTGATGGTCGGAGACAACTTTATGGATCCAGAGCATGTCATTCATTGTAGTGAGCGTGTGCTGTCTCTGAACATTCCAACATTTTAATTTCTGGGTCGTCTGGATCACGTGTTTATAGCAGTAGCCAATCACAATCACGTGTATAATATAACAGACAATGATGGTGCACACTAGATATGTGACGTTCCGGTATTCACCGTTGGCCCAATCTAAACTGCATGAGGTTCCAAACGGTTCCAAGGCGTATCCACCCCAGCCTAACAAGGGGAGACCAGTCCATGTTAAGGCATGAGTCCAAATGCATATTAAAACGCGTTTTGTATTGCGGTCATTCAGATATTTTCCTGAAAAGAGAATAGAAAACCATAAATCTAGGCGCATCTATTACATATATATATGATTAACATTGATAAATTGAATCTTTCTTTTCTAGAACATGTTAGCTTTAAAATGACATAAACCATTTAATATTATATAAAATAAAAATAATCAAGAAGAAATGGGTTCAATTGAAAAAGTAAAACTTGGCTTAATCTTTCAAACACACAGGACATTCGAGAAGAAATGATTTAATTGTCTTCTTTTTTAGAACATGATAGCTTTAATTTGACACAAACACATTAAAATGATACTTGTCTTCGAGGCTAAAAATAACAGCTTTAATTGAGAGGTTGAACTTTCAAATAACTGATTATATTTGACAACCAAGAAGACAGGGTTCATTTATAGAAATGTTGAAATTTCGCAAAACGTATTATGAAAATTATCCGAATATCGATTCTGAGAATTCTGTTGACAATTGGTCTGATACAAATCAATAACAATGTCATAAAAAAAACTAGATAACAACATTTTTCTCCACGTAAAAAAAAATCGAACTGGGCGTTTAATATAGAGTCTAAATAGGAATGTTTGCAACAGTCTGACGTTTCCGGAGTTATAATGTCATCAAGTTCGAAATCTGTTGAAAATGTGCGATTTCGGATCGAGATAGGGCGGTTTCGGCCGTATTGCGAGTTATGGTCACTGTTCTTCGTGTGAGTGTGGCCGGATGTAGGCGGATGTTGACCCCAACACCTTGACCTTGATCTCTGTAAATGCACGTGCATATTGATACTTACGATTTTCAGGTCGGCAAATCATGATATATCTATAGATGCTTATACACATCAAGGTATTCATACTTCCCAAAGACAACAAGAAACTTATAAACCCAGTTATGGTGCAGGCTACATCAGAAAATATCCACTGTCCGTAGAAGCCCGAGATGGTGGTTAGAGGGTATCCGGAGAAGGAGATGCCTATATCTGCTATTGCCAGGTTGATAATCAACACATTGTGTGGTTTAGCTCGTAGTTTTGGATCTCCGAGGATGACAGATAGCACCAGGATGTTGCCCAGTGTGGCTAAGATTGCTGAAAGAAAAAACAAAAGATTAACTTTACAAAGAGGACACTCATGTGCGTTCAGAAGCCATGTCGTTCAACTTTCCAAACCATTTGCATCATTTTCACATTTTAAAAAGTTGTTTTAATGGGACAATGTAACAGTCTGTGCACATTAAAGATACCTTAACAGCTGAAAATGCTTGTTCAACTTTCCGTATTTCACACTGATTGAATCTCCATTCTATTTCATAAAATTTTTTGCCACATTCGGGTATAAATGGATACAACAGACATCTTCTATCTATTGGAAAGATAGAGCGGAAGAAGCGCCATGGGGACAGAATTTTCATTAAAATTTGTTTGATTCTTAATACAGATTACAGAAATCAAGCATGAATCATGTAAGCTTGTTTCATTTGGCTCTATACATAATTTGATATTGGACCAGTCGTGGCAATTTTAATATGACTAGATTGTTTCGCCTTTTTTTTTTAGGAAGTAGACGGTGTATCCAGTCCTCTTTCTTAATATAGACGGAAAGACTGTATACTTCATGGCTTATTTGTTGAAAGTCTTCCTTTCGGGGTCTCTGATTAGCTGTATTCGCTAGCGTACAATCAAATCAAATTGCTTCATTGACAAACTTCCGTGATACAAGAAAAGTGTCTTATGATGTCAAGATATAAGACTGAGCCTTAAGCCTTGAAACCCCATAAATCTCGGACGTGATACACAATTTCGTAACGGTTAGGACCAGACTCAAATGGTCAGATAAGAGTTTGGAGAGAATCTTTACGAAAACTGACGAGGACGATCGAATTGAAGTATACAACAAAAATTAGATTTTGATTTAATCCACTCGTCTGGTCGTATTAATATGGTTTTATTAACAATTCAATATGTTTTGGTATTATCTGTTTTCATCCGATTTCCCTTTTGGATTATTTCACATAAAAGCGTTCGAAAAAAATATCAGCTTTTATCAAAAAAGATGCCAGAACGATAGTCGATAAATTAATTGTTAAATTAAAAAACAACCCAAAACATGAAAATTTTGATGAGATTCTTCGGCAAAAATATGTGCAATTTAATTTTCCACTAAAAGGTTTTTAATTTGTTCTCACCAAGGATATGGAAGGATTTATAGAAATTATTCTAGAATACTTCCTTTGACCGAAATTACCTCCCTTTCCGACGATAACTTAATAGCGATAACCTCCCTTCCTGAAGAAATCTTCAACAGAGACTACCTCCCTTTCTGACGAAATCTTCAACGGAGATTACCTCCCTTTCTGACGATATCTTTAACCGAAATTACTTCCCTTTCTGACGAAATTTTCAACGGAGTTTTCGTACCTTTCTGACGAAATCTTCAACGGAGTTTTCGTTCATTCCTGAAGAAATCTTCCACGGAGATTACTTCCCTTTCTGACGAAATCTTCAACGGAAATTACCTCCCTTTCTGACGATATCTTTAACCGAAATTACCTCCCTTTCTGACGAAATCTTCAACGGAGATATCTTAACCGAAACATTACCTTACTTTCTTTAACAATGACTTTTGTTTGCCAGTTTAGTCAATGGAGACACAGTTTAAGACATCGGTTTCAAAAGTCGATAGATTAAACTAATTATCTTGTTTTTGTCTGTGAAATGATAGTTATTATTTTTTTAAAACTACGTCGGTTTCAATTGATTTATACTTCTCTATACGTCAATAAAAGAACAGAAAGTCAAGTGTGGTTCAATTGGTATGGTCGTTAGTTAGTTTTCAATTGAAGAGGACGTCTGCACCATCTTTAAGATAACAAGATTAGTGTTCAAAGACTTTAACCTCATTTTATTCTCCTGGGCATATTTCTAATCTTGAGGGAAGATTATGACGGCAAATTAAAAAGAAAGAGAAAATAACAATGTACAGATTTCAGCGCTTTAACCGGCTGAGCTACGACCCTCTCTCAAAATATAGAATTTCTTTTCAATATAAAACTGAGCGGAAAACATAGAACACCAAGGAATTTTGTAAGCAAGAGAGAAAAATTCCAAAAATTACAATGGAACAAATTTTCATAGATTGTATGGAGGAGTTCTGATAAGCCCACGATCGTATCAAATTTACAGAATGTTTTTAAATCATGGACAATGAAAATAAATATTATTAGCAATATGTATGTTAACCCAGTAAGAAAATGAATTGAATTTTACGTCCTACCTCTCCGGGGTTGGTTGGGCTAATGAAGACGGAACCCAGTAAGAGGGAGACCAAATTGACGAGCCAAAACTCAGAAACGAACCAAGTGCACTGGTAAAATGAGTCTAGCTCTAGAACAATTCAACTCAAATAAAGAATCAAAGACGTTACTTACCAACGAAAATAAGATAAATTCCAGTTGCCATATACGCCGAATCTGAAAGCCTCTGAACTGTCGTGTTTCCATCGGTGGTCAAGTTGTCCATTTTCTGTTTCGACCTTCTATATTTCTTTTTCAAAAATTTGACGAAATTGTACGGCCTATTTAAGTAAAATTTTTAATTCATTTGATCCAATTTGACCATCAAAACCAGAGAACCAAACATTAAAACTAAAGATTTCAACATTAAACTGCAATTGCATGTAGTAAGCCTGTCATATACTGGTCACTGGCTTAAGCTTTTGAATGATAGAGCCAACGATTGACTGTCCAAGTCCACCCGCTTGCAAAAGCTAACTAATTCATTTGATCACTTGTAATTATATTGCATTTTCTATGATCATTATGAAGATAATATACCAAAATTACATCAACGGAGGCAAGTAAGTAATAGCTTTTCGCACCACTGTAATAATACTATTAAATTTCACATAATTTTTTCACTAATTGTTTTAATTGTATACGTACAACAAACTACTCCGTTGGTACGTTTCCCCTTTCGCGCTGAAAACAACTGAGACTGAAATTGTTCCTGATAAATTCCAGTGTCTTTGATGCCACTCGCGGCTCTGACACTGTTATTGATTTGAGTGTATAATTGAACTTTTCCTACTAAGACTATTTGTCTGGCTTTGATATCCACAATAACAGCAACCAACAACGACATCCTACAACAACAATAACAACCAACATCAACATTGCATAACAACCGCCAACAATAAAAACCAACAACGACATCCTACAACAACAATAACAACCAACATTAACATTGCATAACAACCGCCAACAATAAAAACCAACAACGACATCCTACAACAACATTCAACAACGACATCCTACAACAACAACAACCAACATCATATAACAACCACCAACAATAAAAACCAACAACGACATCCTACAACAACAACCAACAACGACATCCTACAACAACAACAACCAACATCATATAACAACCACCAACAATAAAAACCAACAACGACATCCTACAACAACAACCAACAACGACATCCTACAACAACAATAACAACCAACATCAACATCGTATAACAACCGCCAACAACGACATCCTACAACAACAATAACAACCAACATCAACATCGTATAACAACCACCAACAATAAAAACCAACAACGACATCCTACAACAACAACCAACAACGACATACTACAACAACAACCCTTTTTTTTCTTAGCCCACATGGTGCAGAAAAGTAGAACGTAAAACTCCATTCATTTCATTTCGTATTGTGAAGGCTAATTATCACATTATTACTGGGTTGTTATTGATAACACCTAATTAACTTAATTGGTCATTAACGATATCCCTGTTTCAAATTATTTCCCGAGTCGTGCGCACTCAATAATGGTCAACGTCCACCAGTTTTGCTTGTACATGTACCTTAACAATATGCAGACTATAACACATCTTTTTATGGTAAAAAAAACAGTCAGGATTATTCCGTACATTTCTAATGAGAGACCAGAACTTGTTTTATTCTCAAGATCAATCAAGTTCATTAGGAAAAACAGAAAAAAGGTTCGAATGTCAATTGACTTTATAACCGATAAGAAATGCATGGAGTTTTACGTCTTGTTCTGCACGTAATTGGGCTAATGAAGACAGACACAGCCGTGCACTGTGGGAAATACTGCCAGGATATCGACGTTAGTTGTTTTCGATTTCTTTAACGTGCACAGCCTGTGGCACACGGGGCCTCGGTTTATTGTTCAAACTGGACAACTGGTCGTTTTTTCCATGTCAGCCCCTCTCACCTGCATATATTAACTTTAAAGGCTAGTATATTTGCTTCATATAAAAGAAAATCTTTCTGTTGTCGATGCAAGCATTAAATATGGCGCATTACAAAAACTACAGACGTCTGACTAATAGGGCTTCTAACACATGTTCGTTCTGTCCGCCGTAGTTTAAAGGTTTCCTTAAGAAAATTAGTGACTATTCTTTTTTTTAATTGAAATCGTAGCTTGTCTTCATTGTTAAAAGAGCAAAAGGGTGATATTTAACAATGGGCGTCGATACAAAGGTGAAAATAGAAGCAAATTATGGTCAATTCATGGAATCTGGATCTGTGGCCTAAACGTTGTGGCCTGGGAAAAACAATCTTCACGATGCCAAGCTATTACAATCCGTCTAATACTTTGACATCATTGGGCCGTTTACTTCTCTGAAACCCGTGCGACACCTGTCGGCAACCGATATCCGATTGATCTCCCTTGTGATAGTTGAATATAAAGCCTTGTACGAGAGCACAATTATAGAAGTGTCGCCTAAGATGGCAGACGAAAAATGTTAGTTAAACGCACAGCTATAATGTTAACAGTTTTTCTGTCGATAGCCCTGATTGGCTGTATTAGCCAGTGTGCATCAATCAAGTCGCTTTTACAAACTTCAGTGATACACGAAAAGTACATAATCAATGATGAATTAAGGGTTAAGAGGAACTTGGATGATGCGAAAACACCCTTTGAAGTGTCTGTTTTCCACTTTTTAAACGAATGCCCAAAGCAGATGAACGGAAGCGGCAATAGTCGACTATTATTGATGATTGCTTTAAGTCGTCTTAACTCCAACACTTCATTATAGAATGAATGGGCAATGGTTATAGCCTGTATCATCAAGTCACTCTTTATCTACGTACAGTCGTTACGCAGGAGAAGTCTGGATGTCAGATACTACCATTGTGGGTATATTTAAGTATATTTAACCGGAAGTGAACCATTACCCTTAGGAGTACTGGTTAATCAACTAATGTGCCTGATGACTTTGTTGTTAATGATATTTGAATGTGATACGCCATTGGCACTCCTTCATTAATGAAAAGAAATAGAGTTTTACGTCCTACTTTTCTGCACCTGTTTGGTGTAATGAGGCAGGGCAACGCCAAGATATAATTTTGCCATCGACAGTTGCAGGAGCCAAGTGTCGAGAGATCTTTAACGTGCACAGCCAATAGGATACAGGGCCTTTGTTTATTGTACCATCCAAACGATGTAGACTTTTTTTTTTATGTCAGCCCCTCTGACCTGCATCACTGACGATGGGAAACCGGGTTGAATCCGAGGTATCGCGACTTATGCATGGAGTGAACCCCGGACTATCAGAGTAGCGAGCAAGCGTCTAACTCACTGAGCCACTGCAGCTCTCAATGGACGAGAGAATGAAAGAATGAAAGAATGAAAGAAAAACCTTGATCATACCAATCATCCTAGTCCTTTCTCTGTGAATATTGTCACATGTGGCATGGTTTTATCAACACAAATTGACCCCAAAGGACTAATTCCGAAACAATGGTATTGTGATATGTCCATTCAATAGCATCATTAAAAACTTCGGAAGAAACTAGGAATCCTTACTAACATGACATGAAAGCCTTCTTGCCCACAGCTCGTTGACTTGTCCACAAGGCAAAATGTGTTGTCTTCATTCATTAAATAGTACAGAAATTCGCAGGGGCATCTCGAACTAGAAATAAACCAAACAAGAGTCGTTTAAGGAGATCTCCCACATAGACAGACTTCACTGAATATTAGATTAGTCTTAGACATCCGTCTGGACTCTTACAGCCAGACTTCTCCTGTCTACGACAACACCCTTCGTTCCATGTGCGTAGACAAAGTGGAACTGGATGAAAGAAGCTAACACCCTCCGTTCCATGTGCGTAGACAAAGTGAAACTGGACGACAGAGAATAAATGAGATTGGATTAAGGCAAAACGGATCTATTTATTTTAGTTGCCGTCAAACTATTTTCGTGTTCCATTCTGGCCAAATAAGGGTTAGTTTTGACCCAAATTGTCTATCTTGATTATAATGCGTCTTCTCACGTTCCTTTAAATGAACACCATTTACTATGTGTAAATGGTTAACCCTTTAACAACTCTCCATTGACCGGTTGACAGCACATCAAACTTCTTTCTATTCGATTATTATATTTTTTCATGAAAACATGATTATTACTTATAGAAAATTACACGTAAGAAATTATTTTTCTGATGTCCACACTGACTTGCTGTCGTAAATAACTAACTAACGTTATAACAGGAGATAAAGTTTTACGTCTGACCTTTCTGCACTGATCTATGTATTTAAAGGGATTGTAAAGAGGTTTTCTCAAATTTGTATGCAATGTATATCAAGTACATTGCTTGCTAACAAAATACTGCTGTTTTTCGGTTTCTTTTTCAAAGTCCAGAAATAAATTGCTGTTTTTTTTAGCGAATACTGGTTCAGATCCAGACTGGTCTTTTAGTGATACAGTCTGTTTTGGGCAAAACGGAGATACCCTCTAAATAACCAGTGACCATAGCACACCCGATAAAATGCAGAAAATAGGGACGCAAGACGTTAAATTTCATTTCATTTTATACCGGTAAATACGGTAGATAATCTTCTTGTGGTTTGGAGAAATAAGAAGATATTGACATGTCACCTTATTAATCAAGAAAATGTTAATTAAAAATGAACTAATCGGCTTAAGACTTATAATATTTTGATGAGGAATCTTTCAAATATATTGATAATCTTCATAATTAAAATCATCCTGTAGCTAAGAGCCTGATAGTTTCTGTGGAAGATCGATTCCAACATTCTTTGAACCATTATGACGAAGTACTTTTAAATGCTCCCCCCCCCCCCGCCCCCTTCAAATAACTTAGTTGCTCCTTTGGAAAGCCACACCTCCTAATGCACAGATTGTCTCATTCGTTCTCCATGCTTTTCTGCACTCAGAAGGGTGACTCCGTCAGTGTGCAATGAGAGAAAATGATTCATGAATATATCAACGACACTTGTATTAAAGCTTTTTGTCGTATATTTGGTATTCATATGAACAAAAAAAAAACTAAAAATTTCAACAAAGATAACTTCACTGTTTATTTCTATATAAGTTAAGAAACGAATCATTTTGAAGGAAATTTGATGCTCAGTTCCCAAGGTCATTGGTTGAGGACGACATTGGTCATTATGTAAATAACCAGAGAAGAACAAACAAAACAAGCAAATTAATTTGCAGATATGACGAATGGGACAATGGTTATAGTGAAAACATAAAACAAAAAACATAACAATTGTTAGGGAATCTGTAACAAATCAACCCGCAAAGCTTTGAAAGGATAGGTCTGTAAAGCTTAATAAATCAACTTTTGAAGCTTAATAAATCAACTTGCAAAGCTTAATAAACCAAAGCTGAATTTGATCTAACTTCTATTTTGAAGAAGTTCTAATAATTGTCTTATTTCTTTTTTCTCTTCTTCGGATGCAGCAGGTTCTAAATTTCTCCTGAAAAAAAAATGCAAAATTGTTATCAAAATGTTATCAAATTATGGCAAAAATATTGTCACAATATAACCCAAAAAATGTTGCAACAATATAACCAAAAAAATGTTGCAACAATATAACCCAAAAAATGTTGCAACAATATAACCCAAAAAATGTTGCAACAATATAACCCAAAAATGTTGCAACAATATAACCCCAAAAATGTTGCAACAATATAACCCAAAAAATGTTGCAACAATATAACCCAATTCTGTGCTCACCTTGCAGGAGCCTCGTCCTTGTCTGTAACAAAGATTCGGCCTTTCTGGTCTCTGTTGGTAAAAGCATTGTTCCTGGTACACATATAATGGTAAACTCCGACACTCTGAGGTGCCTTGATGGGTCCTAAATCAAAATAGGTTCCAGCATCGTCTAACAGGGACATCTCTCCTCCGAGCTGGTCTGAAATGAATTGGGAGTTTTACGTTTAACTGAACTATAGCAAATGACCAAGGCCAAGCACGGTCTCCGAGAAAAAACTGCCAAAATGTGGACAAGCAAGTCAATTCCGTTAATCAAAATCTTGTCCAAACTATGGCAAAAACGAGAGTAAAAGTTGTATAGCAAAGGAAAGTGCCATCATGTGTTTGAAAAAGAGTAAGCATGATCTGCTTCCTATATATATCGAGGGTTTGGAATACAATTGTTGACTAATAAAAACGGATAATGCCATGCAGTGTGCAATGAGGGAAATTTTTCCAGGACAGTGGTATCAGCCTATTTCTATTTCCGATGGTTAACGTGCAGAGCCTGTAACACACAAGAAGACGACCAAATTACATTTTCTACCAAGGAAGGCTTAATCAAAAGACAGCTGACGAGATATTGAAACCATCAAGTTCTAGCTACTTGGTTAATTCCGTTTCTTCCTTAAAATGCCACTTGTGAGGACCAATTGCGACATCTCTTGATTCAATAAACGGAACTCATCCAGTCAACCCCAATAAAATACAATATCCATCAAATTACATGACAAATGATGGCCAAATAAAATTAAAGGGAGTGTTAATGTACATATCATACCGAAACATCTGCCTCAATTACAGCCTAAGATAGCTGTTTTGAAAGTTTTCAGCTCGTCTACTCTAGCCGATAACTGTCCAAATATCTATCAGAGGCTGAAATAGATGAGTCTGACTACGTGCATATCTGCAGCACACAAACCCATTCGAACGACGTTCAAGGCAATGTACCAGAGACATGAAATATCCCACAACAAACGACTCAATACTTACTAGGCATGTTGAAGGCTAAACTTTGTAAAGTTTGCATGTCAAAAATTCCGTTCAATTCCGTGGCATTCATTGGGTAGTTCATGCCATATTGACCCACTTTGATGCCAGGACCCGAGTAACCGCTACCCTCTGGGTACACTTGTTCATGCAAGAAGACCAAATTACTTCTATCTGAACCGGCTTGACCTTGACCGGCGTTCCCATTGTTATTAGAATTGGATCCCGTCCATCTGAAATAAATAGGTCAGTTTGATTAAAATGCACGTGCGTTCTGGCGGTGGTTAGTTTCCCTATCAAACCCATTGGATACGATTCCATGCCAGCCACTAGGACCTACATCACTGACAGGTATTATTAGGCAGTATTCCTTCGACCTATGCCAGAATCAAGGTTAAAACCCCCTGCGTCAGCAAGGAAGCCCAGTCTAAAGCTTTAAACTGAAACGGTAACTTACTGTACGTGATAGTAGTCGTTGACGTTCAACACCAAGTCGTTTGGTACGAAATCGTACTCTGTAGACGGATACGTTTGTACAATGTTTCCACGTTTACCACGTACGTTCAAATTGTGAATCTTTGCGGCGGCTGGAACATCGGCAGGTCGTGGTCGGATTGCAAACGAAAAGGATCTGTAGACATAAAAATAAGCCATAAGAATATTAATTTAGAAGCCATTGGAAACTAACTATATCGAGGGCATCCATTCGAAATTCGAGTCCAAATCGCTTCGTTTTAGTGGAATTGCAGGAACCGCAGAAACCGCAGACGTCTGTTTGGAAATTGGAATGGTGCAAATCAGTGCATACAGTATCCCCGATACACATATTTTTAGAGGACCTCTTTACAATCCCTTTAAGATGTTAACATATTTTCCTGTCGTGTTAAATGTATGCTTGCCTTACCAAGACCATCAGTTTGAAATATAGAGCAGCACATTCAGGAAGTTCGTGAAATTTATTTTAATATAATGAGCAAAAAAAGTGTGTTAACTCAGTGAGAGAAAGATAAAGTGAAAAAAAAAAATGTTTTGAATTTGACAAGTAGGAAGTAATTAAGGCTTACCTATCTTGGAAAACTCGTCCGAATTGATTAGTTCTTATGGCTAATTGCAGCTTTAAATCTGGTAATCCTTCAAAAACCTGAACTTGGGGTAAGTTCTTCATATAATAAGAGCGGTCGAAAGCGTCGCAGCGACTCTCCCAGCCGAGGTTTTCGTAAACTGGTACGCGAGCGCCTTCGTCAAATTTACCGGCAACTGCGTTGTTTTCTGATGTTGTCTCCCAACCATCAAAATCATCAGAAGTGACGTTGTATCTGGAAAAATTAACCAATCAAAAACCTGTTTAGAGATCAAATAAATGCGTATTTTATCCTTGAGCTAACGAAATCTGTCAGACATAAAGTTAGCAAACAAGGCTTTGAGGCAGCCACTCAAACAAATAGATAGTTCCGATTTTGTCGGGTCAAGTACTCTAAGGGCTCATTAACACTTGCGAATATCATAACATGCCGTACCACATACTGAACTATCGGTTCAAAATTTAACAGGGGTATATTGATGTAGAGTAACTTAATATTTTGACTTACCGAATTCTCAAAATACATTTTTCATGTTGGAATTCAGGAATGGTCCAGTTGTATCGCATGGTTTTCCCATCGACTCCGTTACCATTGTGGTTATCGCGACTGTATTCGGCTTGTTGACAGACAGGGGCTTCAATTCCGTGGGAGGGGGCCTGTACCCATTCACCTTTTTCACCGTCAGGGTTATTTTCTGGGAATCGGAATTTCTGGAATGAAATTGGGAAATTTAGTAAAAGCGGAAGTAAATTTTCATCGTATTTTGATGAGATTTAAATTTGATTATTTGAAGAATTTGTACGAAACTCCAGATTATATTCCCCACACACTTATCAGGTTCAGTGTATATCGGTCAGAGAAAGACAATACTTAGTACACTTTAAAGGGATGTTGAAATCTAATATTTCTTTTATTTTCATTCAAAGCACTTTTCAGAATCAAGATCACTTGGTGAAATTCAGAATCACTGGCAGGCCTCAAACCCATCGATACCGGCTGCAATTTTTCACTGCGACAAAAAGGCGTTTGTAGGGAGTATTTTTGTTACAAACTATGAAATGGCCACGGAAGTAACATCTGTCTAAACAGTACATTTCTTGTATTAAATTGTAGGAGAACAAAGAGCAGAAATTTCGATTCTGAAAAGCGATACAGATAGCTAAAATTGAATTATTTAGATGACTGCATCCCTTAAATATCAAAGAACAAAAAAAAAATCTCTACGAGCGAAGTCCCTTAGCATTTCGTCTCTAATTGGATTATGTGTCAAGACGACGGAAACCAGTCAATTAACATCACTATCATAGATTACAAGAAAAAACAACGATGAGTTTTATGATTTTTGCAAGGCTTTGGATACAGTTAAATCAATCGGAATGTAGCATTATTACTTTCTTAAAGAGATTATAAAGAGCTTGTATAATGCGTCAGGGCCATTTAGCTTTTATATCCGCTGTTCCAATGTCCTGCCTGGCGTCTGTGGTTCCTGCAATTCCAGAAAAGATTCTGACGTCACTTTCGCTTTTGTTGGAATTACAGGAGACGTGAATAAAACGTAAATAGAGTTACGTCTTACTTTTCGGCACCTGGTTGGACTTGAGAATGACATCGCCATGCAGTGTGCAATGAGGAATATTTTCTCAGGACAGGACATAAGCCTACACATTTTCGACTTCCAACTTTCGAGAGATCTGTAGCACACGGGACCTCGGTTTATTGTCCAATTCGAAGGACTAGATGTCTTTCCATGTCAGCCCATCGAAACTGCATCACTGATAGCAAAAAACCAAGGTGAAGAAATTGGAATGATGTTAAGAGAAAAGAAGCTTTAAGTGTCTCCGTTATACAGACATAAGCTTGTCTCAAGAGGATATCATAATCTTTGAAGTGGCAATGTGTCAGAAAATAATTTCTCAATTTTATCCGATTTTCAGATTTTTTTTATTACTTTGACACTTAAATCTAACCTTTAAGAATTTTAAATCGATACTTCAAAATAAACCAAATAAATCGGCAAATACTCCCAATTTATATAGCTAGAAATGAAGATATATTCCCTCTTTTCCCAAAACTACCCTAACGAATTAATTCTTTTATATTTTACCTCGCAGTCTTCCTCATTGTTTGGAATAACTATTTTGCCGTCTTGTTCCTTGATTAAAGTTTCTGAGATTTTACAATATCCTCGACCTTTAACATTTTCACTGTTCTGTGCATAATAATCACATTTATCGGTTCGGTCTGTTAGAACTGCAATATCCTGTAGGGAAGAAAACATAAAAAAAAAACATGATGATCATTAATAGTTATGTTAAAATATTTTCAATAACAAAAATACCTGATAGGAGGTCTCAGAAATCATCTGGCAAATAACGGACAATCTGATAGCAACTGACTGACACTGATAGCAACTGACTGACACTGATAGCAACTGACTGACACTGATAGCAACTGACGGACACTGATAGCAACTGACGGACACTCTGATAGCAACAGACGGACACTCTGATAGCAACAGACGGACACTTTGATAGCAACAGACGGACACTCTGATAGCAACAGACGGACACTCTGATATTAAAAAGAAAACGCACGTCTAAAGATTAGTCGTTTTTTAAAATTAAGGCTACGACCTTGATTGGGCTCTAATAAGTAAATGATTAAACCCGTTTAAGAAAATAATACGATACCTTCCAAGGTGTGGGGTGCCAGTATGGATAGTACTCTCGTTCTTCGTTACATTCATATCCGTACCGTCTACCATTCATATCTAGTCTAGTGGATATAGCCCGATTCCTTCGACCAAAATTCTGGAAAATGTAAAAGAAATCTATGACAACAAAATAAAATTTAGTCCATTCTGAGAAATTATCTGTCGATATGTTTTGACACACTCCGACAACATTTCTAATTGTTTTTAAAGCTATCCATTTATGTCATGCAAAAAAGAGAATTTACTTCGCTGCACATAGATGAATTAAGTGAGATGAGTAGTATCATGCGGTGTGCAATGAGGTGTGCAAAGAGTGGTGGGATAACATGGGAAAGTGGTAGGATAACAAGGATAATAAGGGAGAGTGGTGGGATAACATGGGAGAATGGTGGGGTATCATGGATGAATCAAAAACCCTCTTTAAGTAATACGCATAAAGCACGAATTGCAAAGAAAAGACCAATATTCCGTACAATGTAAATCAGTTCATTAGTTGAGTACAGTATACAGAATTAAAGTCGAGGACTAATTAGCTTTAGAAAATACTCAATTCTTATTAATTCAAAACCCGGGATTAATGAAGCATACTTAATTACTCTTGTAAATTTTACGCTTAGAAATTACATGAATATTTCAAACACGTGTCAACAACATATGACGAGCTTTTGAAATGAAGTTTTACGTTATCTTAACATCAAGAAATAGTTTTTCTGCTTTTCTCCCTCTGATAGAAAACGCCATGTAGAGAGCCAAGCAATACAATTCCGCTGCTCCACTACTCCGGGAAATCTTATTTGAATACTTGCCCCCTCTTCCTAGTTCAGCAATCCACGATCACCCCCCTCCCCTCCGGATACATTACGTGCCTGCCGAGATAAGAATACACGACAACGTTTAGTTGTTTAGAGAGAATCTTTGTTATTATACGTACCAGATCGCCAGTAAAAAGCCCCATATTTCGATGTCGAAGTCTACAGTTGGTGTAATAATCATAGTCTTCATGCATACTGTATTTAATATCTGTATTACAATTGTCATTCTCACACTTTGTATTTCTATCTGGTATAGTTCTACAATATATAACACAAAATAGATTAATAGTCCACAACATTACTGTAGTCGTCCCGGAGTGTCAGTGAATGCTTGTAAAGTCGTATGAAAGCCTTAAAGGTGGTTGAACAAATAGGGAAAACGGCATAAGGTTGTAGCACACAGACCTCATCTCGACTGATACCCAAAATCTGTTTTGCAATCAAAATGTTCAGACCACTATTAAATCAAAAACTTTCACTTACTCTCGTTGGAGTGAGCCATCTCTTATTTTATCGTCACACATATATTGTAGAATTATATCACAGTTGGAATTTGGGCCGTTACACGAATGTTGATTGGTCCTGGAATACAGAATTTAGGTCAGGATTTTAAATGCACGTACGAAATTGAACGGTTAAATAAACAAAGACAGTGAAGTTATTCTTTTACGAATGAGAGGTAATAAATGGATCAAAACACTAAACGGGGGTTCAAGTGAAATCTTGTTGAATCTAATCTGTATTTGGAACACGTGACCTGAGCACGCTTTAACGTTATCTGGTTAAGATAAAATGCACGTACGAAAGGGTGCAGCATTTGGGATGTTATTATTACCCGATAGTATCATTATCTGAAATATGGAGGGTAAGATCTTGACCCATAACAATGTTACCTCTGGATAATGGATGGTGCACATGCAGACATAATTCTGCACACCACCCCATCAACTACGCTCCCTAACCAAAAAGGTTTGTATGCAAACGTCATGTTCTCAAGAGGGAAGACATTGTCAGAACTAATATAAACCAGTAGCCTAATGTCCTGATGTCAATGGGAACGTTCGAACCAAATCAAGAAAATAATACGTACCATTCTACTTGTAGAGTTGAACCTTGTAAATAATACAGGCTTCCTACATTGTAACCCTGTCTATCATTGGCTTGAGAATTAAACAGTCTGAAATGAACAACGAATGAAAATAGAAATGGAGTTTTACCTCCTACTGTATGGAACGCCACCCAGTGTGCAATGGAGGGGGAATTGGCAGGCCCACAGGTACAGTGGCACAAAAGGGACCTTGGGTGACAATTCCATTACTGCAGCTAAACTTCATTTCCTCTCCGGATCCTCCCCACCCCCCACCCCGAGTGGTATTCTCGAAAAAATTAATATGCCGTTAACGATTTGATTTTTACATTTAATTAATTTGACATTTGCATTTTTTCCCACTCGCTGAGATGCACAAACCTTTTCAGTTCTATTTTAATGAAACCTGACATTTGTACATTTTTTCTGCATATTTGGTTATAAAAAATATTTATAAAATATGAACGATAATTTTGCGGATATGGTTAAAAGTTAAATATTGATTATTAAGAGGCTTTCAGTTTTTTTAATGTGTATTTGTGCGTTTATGGCTTCTATTTTCATATTTCAATTTTCTGTCAGATATGTGGTTCCTGTAAATACAGAAATACTTTACAGTATATGACGTCAATATCGCAAACGCTGTGAGAGTTAGGTTGTAAAACGCATAGTTTTAGTTGATCAGGAACAAGGCTAACTAAAAATTGGAATGGTGCAACACGATGCTATCAATGTCCCCGATACACCGAAATTTTTTTTAGAAAACCTCTTTGATCTTTGTGCGTCTATCAGGGGGTGCCAACAGCCTCGATTTGCAATCCGATTTAGCCTACTAGCGCTTTGAATCGCCGGCTACTCTCTTTCCGATCGGATTTTCAGTTTTTAAACCAACCAATTTGCACCTACCTCTGCCTATTTCTTCTTTCTCGCCCATTTTCATCCAAACGATTCCCACTACCCCTAAAATAGTCATAAAAATGGATAAGTACTAAGTTAGATGTCTACAGATCTACCTGTAATGTATATACTCCTACTGTCTTACTACGTTGAGCTTTGAATTGAATTTTTTCTCTCATTGAATAAATATTCAAAATACAATTTTTAACTGAATACCATTTGTCTTAGAATGTCTCCGAGTCTATACAAATATAAGGTTCGGTGATTTTACATGTGAAATAGACACACTTTCCTCCCAGAAAATTCAAGTGAAAATGACTTAAAATTCCTCTCTGTAAAATCATGTTAAGAAAAAATAACTTTTCCATTGGTTGACAATTTCATCAACCGAAAGACAATCAAAAATTCTCGGTACTATTTTGTAATTGAAATGTCAGTTCATATGAAAATGTTGGCCAAAATTCAATTCAGAAAGCAGTGTAGCCAGAGAGTAGACAGTGGATGGGGGTCGACAGGGAGGAGATATATTCACACTACCAGAACACCCGATGCCACTCCACGACTGCTTGTTCACTTCGTCAACTTGCTTCTCCAGGGATTTTAGGTGAAGTCCAAAAATAGGAGTTTTCAGCGCCCATAACTCAACGAATACGGTAACAAAACGCGATACAGAAAGACATAAGGAATAATCAGTTTCAAAACCTTTACCGATACTTTAAAACACGATATCAAATCAAGACCGTAGTTTCTTTAATTTCTTAGTCAAAAATAACATCTTTCAATGATATAACTCGGCATGGTCTAGCAACTCACACCCGACGACAACCCAAAACATAAACAAGAATCTAAGCCGGACATTCATAATGATATGGATGCACGTGCAAAGTGCTACATGACCTAATTCAAAATATACGACAGTGTTAGTAGTAAAATAGAAGTTTTACCTTGGATTTTGTAAATGGATGTCTGCGTAGGAAATAACAAACAAACTCAAAATCAGAATAATAGCGAAAAGCGACATCTTTCTTGGTCGAATTTCTTCCCCCGACTAACTACACGTGAGTTACTCCGCTCATTTTATAATTGCTACGCTAAAGAATTAGTTCCACTTTCTTTCTCTTTGTTTTTATTTTGGACAAGTTTTGAACTGCGTGGGTTTTAGCCCCAGGGGTCCGACCGGGGATGAATTCAACATGAATTCACCTTAATTTGTTATTTATGGGATTTTTCAACCACCGTAATCGAATCACGATCCGGCCCCTTAAACATTAATCCGTACAAATATTTATTTGAAGTATTTCATAATTTGTTTCGATTCAACGGATTAAATTATTTTTATCGTCAGACGAATTTTAATTTGAAATAGCTTACGTAGTTCCCAAATCAAGCACTAACAAATGAATAGGGTTTATACATATGAAGACCATGCAATATTCAATAATGAAGTTTTGATTTGACCGTATATAGTGTCATCTTCCTTAAGCAACGATTTTATTATTCACCTCTAGATGATCATTATCATGTAATGTTACTTAAACAACATAATATAATGGTAACTGGTGAACTCTTCAGTAAACCAGGCCCGGAGCTAGAGGGGTGCCAGGGGAGGGAAGCAGCCTTACAACATTTTTGACCCCCCTCACAAAGGCGAACGGGTGGGCTTCTGAGAAGGGAGGCACCCGGTTCCTATGCCGAATGTAGAGGGTGCTAGTCATGGTAAGGGATCAGGGGGCAGGGGGTCCCGAACAATTTCTAATCTAGGAAGCCGGAGAATAATACATCTAAGGCGATTTTGGAAATGAAAGTAGACTTCCCCCCCTTCCCAAAAAAAAAAAAATGCGCCAAAAGTTATACGTAGAAAGACACGCTCTAACCGACTGTGCTACGAAATTCAACTCAAGTTTGTAATGAAATAAGATATCACCAGACAGCGGGTGGGGTCGATGATCATGAATATGCGTTATTTTTTTCAGTCCGTACCAATTGCAGATCTTGATAATTAAATTGTGTCTGATTGAA